CAGATCATTTTGATTTGTAGAAAAAAAATGAAAAATAAAATACTACCAAATAATCGTGACCGCACGATGAAATTGAACAGTGATGAAGATAAGCGAAATCACTATTTATTTTCACCAATAAACGTTGGATAGACTTTTTCATATATATATATTTGGTTTTTTGTGTTATTTTTTATTATTTTTTTAAATAGGTCAGTTCTGAGTTTGATTGGCTGAATTTGTAAACACCGATTCATACCCAAAGGAGGAACAACATGATTTCTATCTAGATTTAGAAGGTTGCTTATGTAAACTACAATTTGAACCTCCAAAAAAGCCACAGTTCACGAGACACATTGGGGCTATGACCCAATAAATCTTGATAATTTATTTTTGAAGGATCCAACGAGTAGTTGGTAGAAGCAGAGGAGCCAATACTCAAGAAAAGGCATCACAATAGGCGATAGACCTCTTGAGCATTGATGACGAAGAATGTGTGAACTGGCAGACAGGTGATGAATAAATAAAGGGATGACCAGAATTTAAGAAATTGGTGGGAGATGGTGGCGTTGCTTCTTCCAAAGCTACGCCACCGAGACAGATGGAGGTGGTCGCATTGGGGACGAGCCTTAACAGTAAGCTAGGAGTGGACTGGCGTTGGGGTTAGGAGCAAGTCATGCCCTACCGGACTTGATACTCAGACTGGTTACCAATTTTTCAAACCTCCATATTCATTCCTCAACCAAATCAATTTAGAGTGATCGAGATAGCAGTGGGGAGCGGAGCGGTGGGTGTTGGAATGACTTTTGAGGCCCGTCGTGGCTCTCTCTGCATTTCACTTATTTACTTATATTTTGATGGTCTATGCAAAGATTACTTTCGCCCAAAAAGAGATGGAATCAATTTTTAGAAAATTGCTTGGCCAAGGTAAGGTGAGGAACTTGATCGAGTCGAGTGGACTCGGCTAAGTCATATACACCTAAGAAAATTGTGAAAAAGAAGTAGAAAAAAAGAACAAAAGGTTAAAATAAAAAACAGTAAAAGAAGTAGTTAAAAATGTGAATAAATTAGAAGAGGTAATAAAGTACATCAGAATACCAAAAAAGATGGAAAAAATCTATAAAAGATGGAGTATTGGAAACTTGATTTATACCTTGAGTATTTTTAAAAATTGTAAAAATGAAAAAATTATGGAAGTTTTCGGATCATCTTAAAAACTATCAAAGTTGTCTATAAATATATTATTAACTAACATATTGGTGTTTTCTAATTTTTTGTATTTCTTAACTTTTATGTATTAATTTTTTTTTTTTCAGGTTTTTAGGGCACCCCCGAGTCCATTTTGGCTTACCACTAGGGCGACGAGTCAAAGTGGACTTACGGAGTCCAAAAATACTATAATGGAATTTTTCAACCTAATTTCTCTGATTCTCTCAAGCGAGTCCGAAAATGCTGGATGGAAATCTTCGTGCTGAATTCTCTCGTTTATTTAATTTTGTTATACTCGACATATATCTTAGCCGATGCAAGTTTTCCTACCGATTTCGTTTCATATATTGGTATTAATTTCGTTGCATTTTATTATGGACGTAGTTTGCACAAGGTTACAATCTTAAACAATTCATACCACCAAAATTTACCATAAAATATAGTTTTAAAAGTTATTAAGACAGCTTGAGAATCTATTTTCATATTTAATTATAAAAGAATGAGATTGTATACAATGAGACTATTTACTTATGATACAAGGTGGTCACAATTCTTTACAACCATTTGATGTGAAATTTGATAGCCTGGATGTGTCACAAAGTTCAAGAAAACTCTTTTGATATTTGAGCTTTGTCAATAGAATGATTGCAGCCACCCAACTTCACATCCAATGGTCAAGATTATTGTGACCACTTTGTGTCAAAGGTAAATGGTCTCATTGTATACTTTCCCTCATAAAATTTAGGTTTCAAAAAGGGTTCAAATCAAGTACATCTACAAACCCATGAAAATCTTGAAAATGGAAAAGTCCAAATAATATATTGTAAGATGCACTATTTTTAAGACTCAAAATCTTTTTTCTTTTTTTTTTTAACATTCATATATCTTGATATCAATATGAACAATTAGAGGGCTTTTCAACTTCAAAACAGCCTTGTCACATTGGATATTTTAGGTGCACGTAAAGTCTAAATTGAGCCGTTATATAAACTTTTTCCTTTTATTATTGAGAAAAGAAAAGCATATAGTGCTCCGAAGTGAGATATATTTCTGCATTTTAAGATTGCAACCTTATATAAACTTTATCCTTTTATTATTGAGAAATATAGGGTGCCCTCCCAAGTGGGATATAGAGTATGGGTTCTTGATGACATTATGTTATTGGCCATGTGTCATTCAAATTTTATTCAAAATAATTTTGACATTTCCCTCAGTGTATGAGCTAAAACGACAAGGTGCTGCAATTTGCCGAAAGATTACAAAACTTTCGGATGCACATTCCACGCTGCCCATCGCCCTTTTATCTCGTTCCCACACCCCAAACTTTCCATATTTTTTCTTTTTTATGGTTACACTTTATATGCTCCAGTAAGAGTGCATTGTGCTCCCGTGGGAGTAAATTGTAGTTTGCTCCAGCAAAAAATACCAACTTGGATTTAGTTGGAGAATTAGATCGATTTACTTGTTTTTAGATCGTCTTTAAAATTACTATGCAATTATCTAAGAAGAATAATATAGATTTTGCATTTCTATACATCTTTCTTCTGAAAATTAAACGGTATGTGTTCAATTTTAAAGACATAATTTTCTGTACTTTGAAAATATTAAGAGATAATTTTTTATTTTTTATTTAGGTTGTTTGAGTAACAATGGAAGGTTTTCCTCTAAATAGATAAGAGAAACGTCTGAAAATATATTTAGGTTGTTTGAATAACAATGGAACGTTTTGCTCTAAAAAGATACGAGAAATGTCTCATAGGATACGAATAGAACTAGTGAGAGGAGATATGATGACCTATTACTATTATTTTTATTGAAAGTACAATCCTGAATAACAAAACAATATTGGCTTGTGTTGAAATAGTTGGAATAAAACTCTGATAGTAGGGTTTTTACCCAAATGTTAATTTTGCTCCGGGCGGAGCATAAAATCTTGAATTCCATTTTATTATCTTCACATTCGCATTTAACTAAGAATAGAATTGATTTGGTCATCAGAAACCAAAGAACCTTCTCTTGGTTTCATTTCCAGAAAACATGAGGGGCATTTTTTAGCCTTCCTTTTCACCGTTTATATGATTTTCTCATGAGTCATAGGCCCTTTGAGAGGGAGCTACTGCCATTCAAAAAACCTCCACCATTACTTCCATGGCCGCTCCACATCCATTCCAAGCCCTAAACCTAATTCTCTTCCTCTTAGCAACACCTTTTTCAGCCTCAGAATCCACGCCCACTTCTTGGCCATGCCAAGACCACTGTGGTTCGCTTCCAGTGCGCTACCCCCTCGGCACCGGCCCAGGATGCGGTGACCCCCGCTTCGCCGCTTCTGTTTCCTGTAAGAACAACCAGTTTCTGTTCACGACACACACCGGGTCATATCCCATCCTCTCCATCGACTATGCTCAATCTCGCATGCTTGTATCTGATCCCCGCATGTCAACCTGCATGGCGATGCAGTCGAGCTCTGGGTTCGCACTCGATTGGGCCGCGCCCTTTCAGCTCGATGGCTCGGTTTTTGCACTCCTCGCATGCAACGACCCGAGCCGACTGGTCCACGATGGTTCATCCTTGTGCGACATGGCGAGCTCGCATATTTGCAGTTCTTTGGGCGGCTGCGCGGCGATGTCCACACTCGGTGTGCAGCCGTTTTCGCCTGAGGCCGCCTCCACTTGTTGTGTGTATGCGCCGATTAACCTGGGGCCTGCACATGAGGTATTCATCGTTTGTCGAATTTAAGGACACTTAACTGCAATTTCACTATGCCAGTCTTTCAACAGTTGGATTTTTTCATATATTTGTAACCAGGTGAACCTGACCCAGCTCGGGTGCAAGGGCTATGCTGCAGTGGCCGGGTTCGGCGACACACCCACCGACCCGGCAAGGTGGTCTTATGGCGTGGCCCTCCACTACAGCTACGGGCTTGGCAACGGCTACTTGCCGGCTGTGTGTGATGCCTGTCAACGAAGTGGTGGCGCTTGTGGCTATGCAGGTACGAGCCTGAGGGTGAGCTTCGTGTGCGTGTGTAAGACCGGCGTGAACACGACTTCTGATTGTTATGCACAGCAAGGGCTTTGGGGTGGTGGTTTTCGGAGGGGCGCTTCGGTTCTTGGGTTGGTGATGACTGGTAAGATGCCATGGCTGTGTTTCTAGAACAACTAAGTTTTTTTTTTTTTGTTTTGTTTTGTTTTAGTTGTGGTTTTTGAGTTGATTGTCATATCAATGGTGTTCTTTTGACTGTAATTTGTTGGGTTTTTGTGATTTTAATGAAGTTGGGTTTGTCATGTGGTTACAGGGAGCTTTTGGGCAGCTTTCATGGCGGCTGGTAGATAGCACAGAAGCAAAAAAACAATGGTATTCTTTTTCTTGTTTAAGAGGATTTGTAACTACTGTTTTTTTTCCCCTTAAAATTCAAATGTTGGTGTCTTTTTTCTTTTTTTTTGAAGAAGAAAAGGTTGTATTTTTTTTGTTTTGAGGAGAGAGGTCAGATGAGCATTCATGGAAATTCATGAATTTTTCTTTTTTTATTTAGGAAGCTTTCATGGCGGCTATGGAACACTAGAGAGAAGGAAAATGGCATGAATGGCTTCTACTTTTACAATAAGAGCCCCACGTGTTGTACATATTCTCTAGTTGCTTACAGAGTAATCTATGGGCGACGTGAGGGGTGTTATAGTAATTTTGGGAGAAAATAAGGATCATTTTGGGTTTGGAGAAATGTTGAAGGGTGATTGTGAAAATTTGTAAGAAGGGAAAGCAGATGTATCTTTTTTGTTTTAACTCTTTTTTTGTCTTTATTTTTGTCGGTGTGGATAGTCTGACTTGACATGTGATTCTGCCACGTGTTGGAATAGTGTAAGTCTGGTCCACGTGGCGATAAGATTAGAGGTGGGCCCTCAAACTTTTCCTTCCAAAGATGCCCCTTCTGACCGTTGGACAAATGCTCCTCTTGCTTGGAAAGCTTCAAGCGAGAAAAAGTAGAGGGAAACTGTGGACCATGCTATATTCGGTGCTTCAAATCCGTGGTTTAAATTTTCAAATTATGTGTTCGCCATCTCTTAATGAAGCCAACGCCCTACTCTAAAAAGATAAGATAGATTCAAAATTTATAAAAAAATTAACAAAAGTTCACGGTAGAAAACTTGATTATTAACTGTGAGAGGTATAAATATAAAGAAAAAAATAATAAATTTAGGAGATAGTGCATCTTGTAGTAAAATTATCTGGATCATATATTTTTAAGTATTTCAAGTGCTTACAAATATATTAAATTTATGTTATTTTAAAAATTTAAATTTATAATTAAGAATAAAAATAGATTTTCAAGTTATCATGATACACGAACTAGATTCCCAATTAAAATTTAGAGGTACACCCCCATATAAACCTCACTTTTTTTTTATTATTATCAACTAGGAAGCCTAGAGCCTATTCTTAGCTACACACAATCATGAATCGACGACCCTGCCCACCCAAGCCTAAAGCCATTCTCGAAAGAACAATAATGAATCTGCTAAATAAAATAAAATCTAAAACTTTTAGAAACGGATTATTTTAAAGAAATTCAAAATGGATGATCCAAAAAAGGTCAAAAAACAATATTTAGAACCATCCATCTTCAATTTCAAAATATATTTTTGAGAGAGAGAAGTTAACTTCAATATTTAAAATGTATCTGTGGTTGAGAATATTGATATGCTAAATAGATCCAAAAAATATGTTAAAGACAAATTTTGGAAGGAGAGCACTTGAATAGAACCACATAAGTCGCATGTAGTACTAAGATGTTACCATTACTGTTCTTCTGGTTTCTATTCGAACACCATTAAATCGTGATGGGACATTATTGAATCATAAGACTAAGGTATTATTCATGATATGAAACGATAGACTAGGATCCATCATTTTCGTGGGGTGGATAATTCCATCATTTTTCCTCTATAATAACATTTCCCCACTGCAGTATAAGACCATTTTCTTTTGGTGCAAGGAGGTTAAAATCGCTATGAACAGTAACATATCAAATCCTAAAGCTTACACTCGTTGCATGAACGAAAAATTTTCTAATTTTGTGTTTGATAAAGAACATATACCCAATAAATGGAATATATAGTTTTATTCCATACATTTCCAAATGTATTTGTTCACCAAGGTGCCTATCAATTCTTTTAATATATAT